GGAAGGGACCTGAGCAGATCATCAAGTCCGACCCTCTGCCATGGCAGGAAAAAGTACTGGGGTCAAACAACCCCGGCAAGGTGTTCATCTAGCCTCCTCTTAAAGACCCCCAGGGTAGGGTGAATGAAATACAGGAGACATGGTACCTGCTATTTTCCTGCATTAGCTCTTTTGTTTACTATCACTGGCGCTTAAGTTATAGGGGAAAAACATCTTCTGAACTTGTTAACAAACTGACTAACGTACACCTATTGCATTAATTACACCTATTGCACCAAAATTGCACCACAAAGAACATCTGGTAGAGGTATGCACATGGTTTAACTGTAATCTTCTTTGGAGGCCTTCCATGTTTCCCTGCTGCCTGACAGCTCTCTCAGATACTTCCATAGACATTTTATATACACATATTTAACTTGGCATATTTCATTACATTATTGATATCCTGACAGCAACCTTGGAGGGCAGAGGAAGAATTCTGCTGTGCTAAACAGCAAAATGTTTGCTAATGTTTTACAGCCATAGTTACCTTGAAATTGGGCAGACAACCCTGTTTCAGACAACTGGGATTTTGTGTCCTGTCCAGACATGAGACAGAACAGCAAATGTGCTGTGATTTTTGAGTATGTTCCACAGGGAGCTTTAAAGAAAAGAGAAACACGCAAAAGAAAAGAAACAAAGTCAATATGTTTTTCTGTTTATTTTCTACTTTGTTTCACCGCTCCTGTAAAAGAGGCAACTCTGTCTGTTGTAACTTTAGGTGTATCACTTAACCTTTCGTTGTCCCAAATCCCTCTATCTGTAAAATGGCTGTACTAATAGCCACCATTGTGAAGCTTTTTATAGTCTCTGGGTGGAGGGTGTGAAGTAGTATCAAACAGAAATATATTCAATCGCGTAGTAGGTTTTAGAATTAAGCAAGTTTGATTAATACTCTGACTACCAGACTACACTCTGAATTTCCCTCTCATAAAGGAAATATAATATAAGTAAACAAAGAGGGTGAGGAAAAACACTGCCTACGAGGCATGGGTTCAAAACATTTAGCCTAATCTTCAGAACTGAGCAGAGTTTGTATTATCCCTACTCAGGACCTATCAGAATCAGTCTTATTAGCTACTACCCCTTGTCACTTAATGCTGTCTAATTACAGTGACTGTGATTTAACGTGATTTTTGTGCTTTGTCTTTTTTCATGTTCATCAGATAAGTGGGAGATGTTCTGACAGTTCTTCCCTTTGGTTGAATCAATCAAAATGCAACGCTTACTATTTTGTTCTTCTTAAAAATACAGATGTTTGCATTAATCAACTCTTATACAAAATCCCTTTGAAAGAATTCATGGAAAACATATCTGCAAAATATGCACTAGATATGAAATTAGGCATACGCCGTGGGGTGGATCTTAAGTGCCTGTGTGACTGCTATTAAATGAACAATCATGCCTATGGGGATTTTCAGAGACCAAATCACAGTCACAAATGCTCAACAAAATAAAAGCCTGTGTTTATGCATAGCCCCCAATACCTCATTAATATGTTCTCCATTTAAATCTATAATGGAAAACTGGCACACAACTATATAAGAAGGAAAGCAAATAATGTACAGTAGTACAAAGATAATGTTTCTATTTTTAAATGTATTCATGTATTAATTTAGGTAGGAAATTATTTTGACAGATAGATAGTAAAATTTACTCCTGAGGGATATTCCTGCTTTATTTGGGACTTAAATGGAACATAAAAGCTCATGAAAGAAAATCCATTGGTGTGAAAAAGAGCCCTCTGAACCTACAATAGGGATAATCCAATTCAGCTCTTCCAAAAAATATTTGATATTGTTAGCCAAAAGCAATAATATGGTTTAATCCTTCTCCTGTGCTTTTTGATGTGATACAGTTATGTTCTTAGGGATCTGATTCCAAAAGCCTGTTTCTGTGTAACTTGGGTATGGTTTACAGAATATTGAGACCAGTATGCGGTACAATTTGTGTTCTGCTTTGCAGAGCACAAAAGGTCGCACTTTTCCATAGTTCATTAACTTCTTTTTCTCTCCATGTGCAAATGGTTTAATTCAAACTTAAATTTTAGCATTTTAGAGGTGTCCTGACCCAGAAAGGATGAAGTCTTTAGAGAAAGGCAAGTTTGGGGTGTTTTAATTATTGTTATGATCAGAGCCCACTTGAGCAGAATGTGGGGCCTGGGGCAAGTCAGCTTGTGCGGGGCCCCACCCCACCCTGATCCCGTGTGCCCTGGATGTGAAGAAACCGGCAGCGACTGTGGGGGGGGGGCTTAGCGAACAGTCAGATGTGAAGTCGGCAGCAGCAGTGCAGTCGCCACGGTTACTCAACCCGGCTCCACAGGGCCCCCCAAAGCACAGGGCCTGGAGCAGTTGCCCTGATTCCACCCCTCCCTCCCCCCCCTCCAGGGACAGCCCTGGTTATGATGATGATGGTGGTGATTATTTTAAACTTTCTATCACTATGAATAGAATTTAAACTTGAACTAGAGCTAAGTACACACTATAAATGAGGACACCCTAAAACCAATTGCAGCTGAGTGCTGTCTGGCAGGTGCAGGGTGGGTGCAACGTGGCTCAGGCTACCTTGGGCAGGAACAGATGGGGCTTGGTCCCATGCAGAGCACTGAGGAGGCAGCCACAGGCCAACTGTGTTAGGGACGTGGGCGGACCACCTGCACTGCACCGCCCAGATGAGCTCTGCTGCACGCGCCCCCTGAATGTCATATGTCTAAGCCCAGGAACTGGATTATGTGGGAGAAAAATATGAGAGCAAAAGCGAAGCTTTAATGTAGTTCTGAATAGCTAAAAATAAAGTATTTGTATCCCAACACGTAACAGAAGATTTCAAATAATGTTATGTCAGTGTTGCCATATGAAAAGGTACTTGCATTATTGGTCTTCAAGAGACAGGCGTTCAAGTAAATCATGATGTGGACCAGTTACTAAAATCCTGGCTCATATTTACTAGAACATGACCAAATACCCCCTTTCAAATAACTGCAACCATGGTATTTGCTTAAATAATAGAATGACTCTGGATTGCAGAACCTACCTGATAAGCAGCGCTAGCTTTGTTGACCAAATGCTGCTTTCTTTGGAATTGTTCTGCTGATGTCTTGTTTTATGCTGCTGCAAATTGGGAAGGAATTTATCCCAATGTCTTTATCCCAAACCTTAATAACACAGCAGATTGAAAGGGAAGTATTTTACACGACAGACAGACGGATAGATTTGTCAGGAATTATTCCAGCTCCAAACATGTTTTATATTTATGTAGAGCTAGGATTATACTGCTTAGTTACGGGTACCCTGCAGAGGACCTGCGCTTGCTCCTTTTTAAGTGACTTTTTTCTCTACTCTCTTTTTCCATATAGTGCATAGAAGGAAAGCACATTCATTTGTTTTCCACTAAAATCATGCTCTTACCTAAATTTACTATATTACACAGAGTTCAGATGGCTGACCTGATACACAGCTAGAATTTGACCCATTGGACTGCCTTGATTATTATCTTTGTATTGTAACAACTTAACCAAACACGAAAGGTATGAGCTAATTGCTAGTCAAGACACTGAAAAAAATCTCACTGATTTGAATAGGATCTAAATCAGATCCCAAACTTCTGCACCATCAAAATTAAATAAATTTATTTCAAGGTATTGTTCTTCAGAACAGTAAATCCTGTCATTCCCCAAGATTTTTTGGCAGGGAAAGTTGCATCTTACATATGGATAGAATTTTTGAGATTTATTCAGCTGACCATTTCCTGAACTCTGAATTTGCACCCCCTTTCTATAACAGAATTAACGAGGTTGAGTCATCTTAAAAAGCCCATATGAACCTAAATAAAGAAAAGCCTTCGTTCACTCGGACACAGCACACACAATATTTTAAATGGCCCTCTACATCATTAAGGCATTTACAAATTGCATTCATTTTTGCTGGAAATCTGCTTTTCAATTTTAATGGCTAATTACAACAGTGACCAAGCATTCACATGGCATGCATATACTTATCAGATGTGACAGATGGATATGTCTAGACCTCTGATTCATCATTTTGTATTTCCTTTCCGAAAGCCTGTGTTATCACTGTGCAAATAAACTATAATTCTGCCCTGAGCTCAACTGCTCACAGAGAAAAGGAGAAAAGAAATAAGCCTTAATATAGCCAGACGGCTTTGGGCTGTGCATAGTATCTCAAAACTCCAGAGGCTAAGGATTTTGGAAGAACAGGACTATCAGCTTTGCTATAAAAGGGCCATTCATTCCCTGGAAAGGGGAATTTAGGGGAAAGCTGTGCTGTGCCTCAGGGAGATGCAGCACAGAAAGCAGAGCCCATGTGGAGATCAAGAGAGGTGTCTCTAAAGCTTCTTGTACCATCCAGGTTCTGGGCTGCTGCCAAGGGTCCATGTGCATCTCAACATAATTTTAAGCAGCCAGAGTCTGTTTTAATTGGAAGTAGGCTCTCACAAAGTGCCTGTGAGCTGTTCTGTGCTCCCAGATCTTCAAAACAGGACATGCTAGGGTGTGGTACTTTTAATCTGTCGTTCCCTTGGCCTCTGACACTCTATGATGTGGGTTGTAAAGTGATAACTTTGTTATGGTGGCCTTATATTTCTCCTCCATCACAGGAATTTTCACTGAGCTTCAGATAGTGCCTTTACAAGCCCCATCATACCATCACAGGATCCACAGTGTGGGCACAACTGCCCCCATAGATTTGTGAAAAATTATATAAAGAAGAAAGAAAGGCCAACTCCAAACTAATAAAATATGGATTTTCTTATGATGGAAGACCATGACTGTCAGCCTTTAATTTGGACAGATGAAGTTGTTTACCTGCTTTCCATGTTCTTTTCATTGCCACCCATATCTAAATAGGATCATTTTAAAATTATTTTCTTCCATTTTTTCTGTCCCCAAATAAACAATATCTTGTTCCAGTGCAACTCATAGATGGAGGCCAATTATTGTTGCTTGCTTGTCTGAAACACAAGGGAATCCGTTTCTGTATGGGAAGACTTGTAAGCACTAGAAAAAAGCTCAGGACAGTCTTATCCAGAAAGGTCCTATTAGTAAGTGAGTCTTTTGAAGTTACAGGAACCAGAGTATGATAACTGACTGTTTTACAAATTATTCTAAAACAGGGGTGCTCAGCCTCCAGCCTGTGCGCTAGATATGACTCATGGAGCCATCACATCTGTACCACGGGGCTCCCCACAGGTCCAGAAATTTAGCAGTATGGGAGGGTGGCCATTAATACAGCCACACTGCCCCCCAGCCAAATTCTCAAACCCCAGGCCTGATGTACCTGATGGGAACCAGGCCACACCCCTTTTCTGGAAAATTAACCATCCAAAATTGGGGGGTACAGCTTAAGCGCAAAAATTGACTTGTTCCCTGGAACAGAGGTGGGGGAATGCTAGAGTATCAGCAGGGAGCTGGCGTCCAAACCAGGGCTTGGTGAGGGTTCAATCCTTCCGTGCCTCCCCATGCTGCAGTGTCGACAGGTACAGGCTTAATGCTCTCACAGCCACTGTCAAATTAGCAGTAGTTGTTAGTCAAGCAGCAGGGAAAAGTGGAGGGACACTGATAATGGGACAGTGCCCCTGCTCCAT